CTTCACTTTCTTGGGTTCTGTAGCCGCTGTTGTCTCTGCTTTGTCTCCGTGCCTGGACTGTCTGTGTCGTCGCATGTGCGAGCCGCATGCGCTGGTTTGTGTTCGTTTGTCTCGTTTCCCCTTTGCTTTCTCTCCAGTCCACACCCTTCCGTCGTCTCTGTGGTGTGATGTTGATGTGGTGTGGTGAGACAACCAACCGAACAATACAACACCCTTTTGACAACAGTTGAGGTGCAAGAGGCGCCGGGAGATGGAGACAGACAGAACCACGTTATTTGTGCATGGAATCCAACGTCATCATGTATCGTCCTTGAAAGTCTTTCGTTCCCCAAAAACACACACACACACACACACGTGTGACGGTCCAAGCTGGCATCATTCTTATTTTGCCTCCGCCCACCACTCACCACATCCACTACCGCTGACTGCTCTTCTGTCTCCACCCCGCCCCCTATCATCATGCGCGAGCGTCTTGAGGTGAGTGAGTGAGTGAGTGAGTGAGTGAGTGAGTGAGTGAGTGAGTGTATCTGCCTGTGTCTGTGTCTGTGGTTGTGTGTGTCTGTGTGTCTGTGGCTGTGTATTTCTTTCTGTGGTGTTTTTCTTGTCTTGTGTTCGTAGCTCTGCGCAACTTGAGATCGCTTGCCCTCACCACTCACGACCAACCCACCACACACACACACACACCACACACACCGCACGCACATGACCAGGTTGATTACGTGTCATGGCTGGGTGACCTTGCCTATGGCTTGGGCATCCTTGCCTTTGTGATGCTGATCGTCGGCGCAGCGACGCCAGCGTGGGTGAGCACGGAGGCCGACACGGCGATGACGCTGCCCAATGGCAAGTCCCGCGCAGACTACGTGTTCTCCCGCGGGCTCTTCAACGCTCTGGAGTTTGACGGATACGCGCAATACACCATCATCCCCTTCTACGTGGACGACGCCAACGGCACACTCGCTGACCCCTTCTGTGGCTCAAACGACACCGTGTCCTCCCTCCCCCTCCTTCGCCAGATGAGCGAGGAGGTGCCTGGGTTCTATCGCGGACGCCGCTACAACAGCCACGGGTGGTGCGAGAAGCGCAAGGCCGCATCCGTGTTTGCGGTGTTCACGTGCCTGTTCGCCTTCTCCTCCGTCATTGCCACCTCCTGCGCGCAGAAGGGCCTGTGCAACCAGACGCCCTTCATCATCAGCATCATCTTTGTGTTCTTCATGGGCCTCATCACCCTCAGCATCATGGGCGGCTTCATCGACCAGGAGAACAGAAAGGCCGACCGCAGGCCCATCGACGAGCGCTTCTTCCCCTTTGAGCAGCAGACTGTCGGCGGATACAGCCTCATCGTGTTTGCCTTTGGCGTCATCCTCTACGTGTGCGCGTTCTTCCTTGCCATCTTTGAGAAGTGCTGCCACGAGGGCAAGGTCGAGGGTGGCATGCCCACGCTCAAGCTTGAGGCCAGCAAGGCGTGATGCGTCGACTGGGCAATGGGGTGGAACTTTGTGCTGTAGTTGTCGATTGTAGATTGCTCGCCACCATCACCGCGTGTGCTTTCGTATCTAGTGTCGCCGTGTGGCTGCTTATATGTGTCTTGTGTGTGGTTGTTGTTGGTTTTAAGTTGTTGTTGTTGTTGTTGCTGCTGGTGCTGCTGTCATGCATGTTGTTTTGTGTGTGTGTGTGTGTGTGTGTGTGTGTGTTCTGCGTATACACACGTTCATTACTTCCCGTGTTGATGCCATTGCTGTATCTATCGGCCTCGCTTCACCTGTCGTGCTTTCTTGTTGTGTGTGTGTGTGACAAATGCCATGCGTGCCCCACATCGCAAGCTTGCACATCACGCCACTCGCTGTATGTGGGTTGGTGGATGAACTGACTCAAATGCATGGTGCTGTGGTGTGCAATACAACATACACACAGATGTACTCGCTTGCTCAAGTGGAACAAACACAGATGTGCGTGCACAGACAAGACAGACGAGAGTTGTATGTACTGACTGCAGAAGAACCTTGCTGTGTATACCGGACACTGGACGGCACAATATGGATGCTGTCATGTCACGTCGCATCACCACAACATACACAAGCAGCAACAACAAAAACATGTATGTTGGACACAAGAACAGGTACGACTGAAAAAGCTGGCTGATTGGATACAGAAAGGGGGAGGGGGGTTTAGGAAGAAAGAAAGGAACCATTCGTGTCGCATACAGATTGTTTGGATACAGAAGGGCAAGAGAAGTGAGCGACAGCAGCACCAAACAAACGCTTGCTCGGGTGTTGGCAGGAAGGAAGGTTCGTTGATGGAACGCCACCGCGCACCTGCGCACCTGCGCACGTTGCTGGCACTGGCTGTACAAGGGGGGGATGACATGATGATAAACGACGGAGGAGAGACAGACAGACAGAGAAGTTCAGAGAGACAGATGGAGACAGACACGAGTGGATGCACCAACTGTTGAGGCATAGCTGGTAGGTGGGTGCACGACGAGTCATGCCTGACAAGC